ATAAGGAGCTCGACACAGCAGACACCTCCGCTCTAATTTCCGCCACATCTTTAGAAATGTCATCAATTTTGTTCACTTTACCAAGCAGCTCATCGAGCTTAGATATGACGGAAGTCATTTGCACGGAAAGTTGAGATATAGGGGTGCTGGAAAAAGAGACACAGTCCATACGGGAACACGACCATTTAATATTGCCATCGTTGCCCAAGCGGTTGTATTCAGTTTTATTCATTCTTATGCATTCACGGTGAAACCATCGTTTGCAATCCCCGTCACACTCCAGTCCGTCTTCAGAGTCAAGGACTGCTTTAACACAGACAGGGCAGGTGACAGACATGATAACGCCGTTGATATAGTATAGAATAGTTTTAGAACAGCACAACCAAGAGGCTTGATTGGCAAAACGATGAGAAGCGCGTCCTTCAATGACGATATTCAACGTACCATATTGATGGCTACTCAATTCACCATCGGTTCCTCATATAGTATTGCAGTATTCTTGGAGTTGACAAAATCCAGAAGGCTGTGGAATATGACAGACGCAGATTCGTTTGCTTGGTTGCTTGGTTCAGTTCCTTCGTTCCACCGTTCCACAAAGAAGTGAAGTAGGGTTATGTATGGACGACAAATTTGGCAGAATAGGGCTGGACCAATTTGGGGGAATAACACGTAGTTAGATGAGGTAAATAGAATGTTAATGGTTTAGTACATTCATCTTACTTCCAGATTTGCGATCCAATGCAATTTGTTGGCAAACTAAACGTATGTTATAAATAATTAAACAGATACGATATCACAGTGCAAGCAAGATAAATCGTGATTACTAGCCAGCAGACGAAAAAAGAGCTTAACGTAACAGCTGTAAACAATCAGCGTTTTCGTCACAAATTCAGCATTTTGGATGATTTGAAATGACATACGTAGAATTGACTTATTTATAGGCCTACTATGTGTAATGCTAAGTTAATCATAGATAAGTTCATTTATTCAGTAAGAGGATGAGAGTTTAATTAAATATAGCCTACATAGTAAAATACTAGATGTTCTAATTTATTTTTTTGAGCAGTCTTAAAATATTTAGTTTGTTTTAGGTAGTGCAATATAATTTGTTATAAACTAACAGCTAACTTAGGCCTAGTTAAATAAAATAATATTCCATTGAACTATGAGGTAAGTTTATTTAGGCCTACTCTGTGATTTTGTCATTAATTGATTAGGTACCTATAGGAAATAAGTAAGATTCTATGACCATTGCTGTAGGCCTACCTATACGAATCGAAGCTCACGAATCTTCAAAAGAAAGCTTATGATCATTATTGTACCACTCAAATTTTTGAGGAAAGGTTGGGAAAATAACAATGAAAACGTGTTTTACCTAATTCATCTTTGCAGCTTTTTCTTTACTAGGCCCTATACAACTTATTTATTCCGTATAGGTGCCTCCAAACAAATTTTTAATTTTGATATCTTACTTTATAGTTTTTTACCTCCTGAATCCAAATATAGGCCTAGCATTATTTTTCACTGCTGATAAATATTTCTCAAGATATCACCGTAAAAGCATACAACATTACAATAAAAAAGGTAGGATGGATAACATTCACAAGTGGAATGAACTGTGGGTAACTAAGCTGACTTTGTTTTCAACCACACGACAAGCAACTGGAAGTAACAACTTTTGAACTTTATTAACTTACTCTGATTCTATCATCGGCATTATGCCTAGAGACGTCATTTTACTTCACTACAACTAGAACTCAAAACAAAAATACTCATACGTGCTGTGTAGTGCTAGCCTGCTTAACCGTTACAAGTCCAGGTTAAGTGAAGAGAGTAATATGGTTGATGAGAAGAAGAACATTGTTGATTAAACATGATAACATCGTTGTAGAAACATTTCAAGTGATTCTGTAGTCAATAATGTTTTCTGTAAGTTAATAGGAATTTCGCCACATTAGATGGACTGGTGGACTAATTACATGTAGTTCTTATTTAGGCATGTCAGGGTGGTAGGTCGTGCTGTATGTGAATTGGTGACTGCATTAAGTGTTTTGAAGTTAGGTTGGATTAGGAAGGTAAAGTTTATGTTATAATGTATCGAGTTAATAATTTGAAGTGTTTTTTTCAGGATTTTAATTTTACAAAAAACAGTCTGGAGGCGACATAAACTAACTAAGTTACTCGATACATTATAACCTAAACTTTAACTTACCTCTAACTTACCTTCAAAGGACTTAATGCAGTCACCAATTCACATAAAGCACGACCTACCACCCTGACATGCCTTTACTGACACCAAAAGGAGTTTGCTTACATTCTAGAGGTTTGGTTAGGTTAGGTTACTGTTAGAATAGCACCATTTTATTATGTAATTTTTAAACAGTGAAATATAAATCGATAAATCATTAATAAGGATAAAATACTGGTAGGCCTAACAATAATACATTTTATTAAATGTGTTAACTTATTGGTCTTAGAAAGTGAAAAGAGTAACATAATCAGGTGATTTTCATATTGCAGAATCAGAGTTAGCTAATTAAAGTTGTCACTTCCATTTGCTTGAGTATGATTGAAAACAATCAGCTGTTGGCTTACTTAACCCATAGTTAATTCCACTTGTAAATGTCATCAATCCTACCTTGTTTATTGTAATGTTGTATATTATTACAGCGTAATATTATATTATTATCAACATATCTTGAGAAATATTCATCAGCTGTGGTATATTTATGGTATATTTGGATTCAGGAGGTAAAAAACTATAAAGTAAGATATCAAAATTAAAAATTCGTTTGGAGGCACCTATAACTTACGGAATAAGTTAATTACCAAATTTTTAATTGCTTAAACTATGCTTGAATTAAGTTAGTAATAGACACGCTAAGTTATATACGGTTTTAATGGACTGCTCTATTCCAGTACGTAGGACGGGCCAACAGCTCGTACTTGTAAAATTATGACATTACCATAGCCTATGTGGGAGTAGGTCTTATGTCATACCACCTCATGTGCATTTAAGGGTTAGGTAATTATTGCGACGAACGTGACCATGAGAACCTATATAGATTTATATATCACAAGAAACTAGATTTATAGCTGAAAATAATGCTGCAACAATTTTTCCGCGCTCTCAAATATTAACGGAGTTACGGCAGTTTTAAGTTTTATTTACCTTTGTAAGTCTACTGACTAGTCTATTTTAATTGACGATATTTCCTCACCAGAAACTTTATATAACTATCAAATTTATGTAAATTGTAAGTGATTTTAAGTAAATATTAGACTCACACTAACAATCAATAAGATAATTACCGCAAACTTATTAATAATGATAATGATAGTTTGGGAAACAAGATAGGCTAACTAAGTTGTACAAAGGTTGTACGCAACTACTCAAATGAATGGAATATGGTTAGTGGCGGCGGCGGAATGATGGATTTGAGAAAATCCAGTTCCAGTAATCCAATCTACTCCACAAAATAGGCCAACATTGTTACTTTAACCATGTAGCTTTTATGCAGTTTTAAATCCTTATAGAATAAGGATGTTTACGTAGGCATACTTCTAAAGCCTAACAACTACTATTAAAAATACACTAATCAACAAAGGTAGACTCACATTCCATTCTAAAATCTGAAGTTTTTTACATGTCTAGTTCATGTTGGTGACACTTGAGCGCTAGTGTCATAACACTTTGTTAAATATTATCAGAAAGTACTACAATATTATTTAATATAGTAATGAACTGTGCTTTACATTTGGTTATATAACCAGGGGATGAGTGATTGTGTTATTGACTTAAATAACACGTTGATTAGTCTATGAATACATATTATTTTTAAAATTAAACTATTCTAAACTAACCTAACCAAACCAAACTTGCTGTAACATAAAATATAAGTATGATGACAGAAAAGGCATGTGTAGAAAGCAAGTCGGTCTTTATGCGGATTCGTTCGCATTAAGTCCAAGCTTGCAGCATTTTTGAAATCATTATTCCGTTGTGTATAACACACTATTTTAATGGCACAACAACTGCATGTGTGTGATATAAATTATCAGCTCGGTTCACTATAACCTACACTTTACCTTCCTAATCTAACCTAACTTCAAAACACTTAATACAGTCACGAATCCGCATAAGCCCGACTTGCCTTCCACACATGCCTAAATAAAATCATTCTGAAAAATTATTCAGTGCCATGTTGTTTCTTAGATGTTTGTAGCATAATGTAGGCTAGATAAAGGAAATCAAAATGTCAAATTAACTTAATGTACTTAGTTAATATTCGTGGCCTCGGAGACATTTTTGCACTGTTATTTCCAGGTAAAAAGTGAGTCTTCTACTTTAATCATTACTTATAATTAACGTAATATATCAAGTATCTGGAGAGAACATTTCATAGGCTTATAAATAGGTTAGGTCAAACAAACAAAGTAGCCTAGGCCTACAGGTAAATAAAAATTAAAACAGCCGTAACTCCGTTAATATTTGAGAGCGCGGAAAAACTTTTGCACCGTTATTTTCAGCTAAAAATCTAGTTTCTAGTGATATATAATTCTATATAGGTTCCCATGGTCACGTTCGTCACAATAAATACCAAGGGGGTAATGATACATAGGCTAAACAGTGAGGGCAATTATTGTTTTGAAACATTTTACTCCATGCAAACACTCTAGAGTTCAGCTGTTTTAGCTGTAAATGGGCAGGTTAAAATGAAAATGGCCAATTCCAGTGTTGCATCAGTCAACCTAGGTTAACCCAACTTAGAAATAACATGTTTAAAAGAATATTTAACCACTCATTTCCATTAAATAGACTAGGCATTATTTTATACCACTTCCTATTTTCAATAAGCAATCTAATCCAAAATTAGAATTTATTGTTCGAGGTAAACAAAAATAACCAATGCACAATCACCCGGCATTTATACCAACTTAGGTAAAGGCCTATAGGATGTAAAATAAAAGTCAAGGCGTAGGATAACAATTTAACTTACTTAACCATCCAGTTTGGATTCATGACGTTGATTGCGAGAACACCATAATTAGCAACACCGAATAGAGGAGCGTAGTGTTCTAATATATTAGATTTTGTTAAAGGTTTAATTCCGTACTTTTCCATGGTTGATTGAACCGAACTGCTCGGAGAAGACACGGCCATTTATTTCACTGCCTCGCCTCTTCTTCTTCTCCTCTTCCTCTTCTCTTCTGCTTTGCTGCTGGGTCTGACCATAGATAAAACCAAAGATTACATATGTAGCATAATTATGTAATCTTTGAATGTTTTATCTATGATAAAACCATAGATAAAACATACGGTGGTTTGGTTAGTCTATGGTCTGACCTGACCGGTGGGGCACACGGGAGGGACTAAGGCTAACATATCTTGTAGTGTCAGCGTTCGCCGCTAGAACCGCTAAGTTGAAAAAATTTAATTTTTTTTATTTTTAGTTATGAAATTAACTTTTTAACTATAAAATATTGTTTTAAAATTATAAACTAAATTTTTAATTTTTAAAATAAAACTGTCACAACATAACCTAACCAACCAGACTTGCTGATAATATAAAAACTGTATAAGACAAAAATCGTATTAATGATTACTTATAATTTTTAATAAATTATAAAATTAATTTTAAAATTTAATATTATAAAATCAAACTGTCATAACCTAACTTAACCAACCAAACTTGCTGATATGAAAAATTTGTTGACAAAAAGTTAGTGCTACCAGCGGGATTCGAACCCGGGACCTCCTGAATACCAAATCAAACCGCTACAAACTATGCCACGAACGCCGCTGAAAACACTTCGTTTCGTTACGGTAATCCTGTTGCCTCAAGAGTAGAAATTACCCACTAGGGATATGACGTCACTACACCTTTAGCCTTAGTCCCTCCCGTGTGCCCACTCCCTGACCTGACCATAGACTAACCAACACAAGGGGAGTATGTTTTATCTATGGTCTGACTTAAGGGAGGTACGATTGAGGCATTAGTTTAAAATTCCTCCGTGAACAGCGCTGTAGTAGAGAGCATTTTGGCAATGAAGGTATACTAATCGCAAAAATAGTTCTGTTCATAAAATAAAATTATAAATGCCTCAAATTCAATTTTATAATTTTTTTATTATAAAATTACTATCATAACCTAACCGAACTAACCAAACTTGTTAAAAATGAAATAATATAAAAACAGTTTATTAATAGGAAAAAACAATTCTGTTCATTAAATAAAACTAGAAATTGCTCAATTAAAATTTTATAATGACTTAATAATAAAATTAAACTGTCATAGCCGAACCAAACCGACCAAACTTGCTGAAAATGAAAAAATCTTAGTCAAAAAGTTAGTGCCACCAGCGGGATTCGAACCCGGGAATCTCAGCATAACAGCCCGGCACGCTTACCATTAGACCACCGAGGCCGGTAGCTGTAAACCGTATTGTTACGGCAATGGTGTTCTCTCAGCTAATGAGAAGCCCACAGCTGTCATCGTAAGCTCATCTATACCTCCCCTGAGTAAATACCTTTGCTGCTTGCTCTGGTCCTAGTCCAGTCCAGAGGCACCCAGAGGTCCCTGCCCTGGTGTTTCAGTTTCTGTTCTGTCACTGTCACTCACTCACTTCACTACTACTAGCCACTCACTCACTACACTGCACTAACGAAACGAACGGGAACGACTGTAGGAAGATAAATATCTGTGTACGAAGTGACTTAGTGGATGCAGCACTATTATTTTTTTTTTATTTATGACAACAGCTAATTTGCAACCAAAAGGTGAGTGAGCGTAGCGAACGAACTTCAACCTGGAGGCAAGTTAGCGTAGCGAACGAGCTAACCTGAAGGCAAGTGAGCACAGCGAACGAGCTCCAACCTAAAGGTGAGTGAGCATAGCGAACGAACTTCAACCAGGACGTGATTGAGCCATGCGAACGAGCTCACTTATGAAGTAAAACGGGCGGGTACAGCTAGTTATTCATTAAAACTAAAATTTATGAACATAAATTTATTGGAAGATTGAAAATAAAACACATAGAATTGAAAACAAAAAACAATATTTAAATTGAAAATCAATTTTTGGGCTTTTAAAGTGGAGTCAATATTTTCATAGCCCAGCAATCAAGCTTTCGTGTTCTTAAAAATTACACAAATAACCATTAGCTGAATCCAAACAAATCAGCTGTTACAACCCTATTTGCAATGTTGTCACTTCGAAAGCCGCGGCCTGGAGTTAAAATGGGTATAGGTTGATGGCTGAGTTAGTTCGTCCACACCATCGATCTCTAGCTGGATACAAGCCGAAGGTGTTCAACATTAAACCCGTTTAGTCGGACTGCAAAAACGTAATATTTCAATTTTTGTGTGGTTTTAACAGAGCTGGGGCCCTATTTTTGAAAGGGTTGACTGTTGAGTTGAGTGTTGAGTCATTCTATTTCCAATCGTTTCGTATTTTTGAAACGATTGACGGTGGACTTATCCAACCAAAACTACTCAACACCTATCGAGCTGTTGAGTGGAGGTTGACTGCACTTTCTTCTTCCTCACTTTCGGCAAAAAATTGCTCTTTTTGAGTCGACGCCATATTGTTTTGTTATTGCTTTAATTTACTAATTGCGATCATGTTGCGATTTAGAGGTTATGTATTTGTTGTCAATGTCTTAGCACCCAATACTTTGTGCGATTGTTAATTTTATTTACTGTGTCAATACTAGACTATGTAATCTATTTACTTTGTTATAAGACTATTTAATTTGTTTGAAATACACTAGGCATACTAATTGAACTTATTAAAAGACAATTATTGCTATTAGACCTATGATTAAGGTATTAAAGATTGTGGTAGAGAGAAACAATATCATAGTTTGTTTCAATACCATTCTCGTAATAAAGGGATCAAATTAATTTAAGTTACGATAAGCTTTCAGTGCAATGGCAAATAGCCATAAGCTCTAACCTAAATAAAAACACAATCAAAAATAACATTAAACAAAACGATGAAGAAAACTAAAATAAGGTGATGTGTTCTGAAAAAGATACGAAGAAAGCAAATAATAATGTATTTAGGATATGCTTAAACTTATAATGAGCTACACAAAAAAACAAACAAACACCCATAGTAAATTTTATTGTTAATACTTATAAGTTTATATAAGGTACTTTAGCAATCACTAAGATTAAGCAAGACATAACCTCAATCTCTCAAGAACGGAGTTGACAGTTTACCTCAGTATCTCGAAATATGGTAGCCTTAGCCTAGATTGAGATTAGCTGATCCAGATTTTAGAGTAAGAAGAGGTAAAGTCGAAGATCACAAAAACTCTGCATTGTGATTGGTTTAAAATGACGTCATCTGAATTTCGGCGGTCGTATACTCTACATTTCCAAAACGAGTCACTCAACTAGTGATTTCCAACTCACTTCCAAACTGTTGGATTTCAAAAATACCAAATCCTGTTGTTGGTTGAGTTGAGTGTTTACTGTAGAGTCAACTGTCAACCATTTCAAAAATAGGGCCCCTGGATTGAAATTATTGAAACATTCTTTATTTGACCTATTTTGACCTGGGGCCCTATTTTTGAAATGGTTGACTGTTGAGTTGAGTGTCGAGTCATTCTATTTCCAATCGTTTCGTATTTTTGAAAGTTGAAGTAAAGTGCAGCCTATGCCTAAACTTATAATTAGCTACACCCTAAAACAAACATCCATAGTAAATTTTATTTTTTATACTTAAGTTTATTACTTTATTTAGTTTACTTTAGATTACTTAAGTTAAGGTACTTTGCAATCACTAAGATTAAGCAAGACATAACCTCAATCTCAATCTCTCAAGAACGGAGTTGACAGTTTACCTCAGTGTCTCGAAATATGGCAGATTGAGATTAGCTGCCAGATTTTAGAGTAAGAAGAGGTTAAATTGAAGTCCACAAGAACTCTGCATTGTGATTGGTTCAAAATGACGTCATCTGAATTTTTGACGGTCGTATGCTCTACATTTCCACCACGAGTCTCTCAACTAGTGATTCCCAACTCGCTTCCCAACTGTTGGGTTTCAAAAATACCAAATCATGTTGTTGGTTGAGTTGAGTGCTGACGATTGACTCAACAGTCAACCATTTCAAAAATAGGGCCCCTGGATTGAGTTTCTTGTTGAATGTTTTTGAATTAGTTTTAATTAATTAATTTATGTTATTGGTCTATGACATTTTACTGAATTGTTCATCTCTTCAAGAATGAAATCTTAGGACCAACAAAGCCTAGCAAAACTTAATAATCTTTAGAGGTCAACCTCGTGAAGTTCCTAAATCCTCAACCTAATCTGAAGGTCTGATAGAAGATTGGACCATAGTTTCGGACCTTGAAAATGTTGGGTCCATCATTGTCTATTCCTAGGTTCATTAGCCCCATGGTTCAGAAGTAATATGAAGCCCGCACTCGCACAGGATATAATTTAGTCCTCTTCGGTCGCCATACCAAACACAGAAACACTGGCTGGCTAAGTGTGGACGCAAAACACATCGGAAAATTGTATCCGAAACTGTGTTGACAGACTGTCAGCCAAACGTCTGTCGACTGTCCGCGCACAGACGGCCGACTCAGTATCCATGTGTGGATTAGAGGCTTACCACCATAGGTAAAACATACTCCCTTAGTAGATTTCCCATATCCTTATGGAACAGCTGAAGCCAATGTTATTGTTAGTTCTGTCCGGTATACTGTAGAGTCGTGTTTTGTTTAAAATTTGTTTATATTATTTTAGGGTTAGTTTCTCATTATTTGTGCCTCACTGTTTGGTTATATAGCTAGTGGACAAGTTATTGTTTATGATAAGATAGTTTTATTTGGTAAACGAGGTTTTAGATAACCAATCCTGTTAAAATAAATACCCCCGCCGCAGCAAACCTGCAGACTTAGCGAATTTCCATTTGCCTGATTGGATTTAAACTAAATTGTCTTCTTAAAAATATCACATTTATTCCCTATTTAAACAGAATTAGTTTAATGAGTACCTACTTAGGTTTGCTGCAACAGGGAGGGTAAAAGTTTTTTTTTATGTAAAATGTTAAAAGGTGCTGTGGTTTAGTAGGAAGAAATTATTGTATTTTCCAAATTTGATCAAAATATGTTCATAAACAAGCAAACTTCAACAGTTGACTTATTCTCCATAAGAATAACATGGGAATTTTAAAATTACAATTTTTTTGAATTTTCTCCGTAACAATTAGGCG